AGGCTAATAACATGTTCGGTTGGTAAGATTCACACTTTTTTAAACCCGCTACTAAAATCAAAGCCCGCTATTAAATGCTACTATTTCATTAAATTAGTAGCACCCTTGAGATTAATTTAATAGGGGGTGACTAAAAAGGAAAAATATAATTTTATCCTTAAAATTATATTTTATTATTGTAAACTAAGTGGTTTTATAGACAATTCATATATAATAACTGATTTTAACAAATTTAATAGAAAATCTAATCTAAGAAACAGAACATGCTACTAACTAAATAATTAATTAGTCCGTAGGGAGTTAATCAAATCTCATGTAATCCAATCTAATCCAATATAGGTAACCGAACGAGCCCTTATTTGACAAACTCAACTCATTAGATTCCTCCACTTGGGAGAATTACACTTTTGGTCCTTCATATTTGGGCCGATTCCACTTTTGGTACCTCTTATTTTAAAATAAACAAAAGTTCACCTCAAAGGTTTAATTTTAAACACTTTTGGTCATTGTCGTTACATGTTTGTTTACAAATAATAACGGAAAACACTATTTCGTGACAAAAATTGAAATTTTTAACTTTTTTGGGGCTGGAAAATAATTAGAAATTAAAAATATACTACTTATAATTAATTTTTTTTTAATAATATGAAGTATAAATGAAATTTGTTTGGTTAATTTCTTTGTTTATTACTAAAAATTTAATTATAAGAAGTATAATTAAGAATATTATTGAGTATAACTAAAAAATTTGTTTAGTTATTTTTTTATTATTAAAAATTTAATTATTAGTAGTATAATTATAATAAATTAAGTATAATTAAAAATAATTTATTTAGTTAATTTTATTTTAAATTTAATTATAAGTAGTATATTAAACTATATCTTGTTGCTCGCATATTTAAAAGGGATTATTTCACAAAACTCCATCATCACGTAATTCCAATTACAATGAGCCCAAATTTATTTCTTATTTTTAAGATAAATTCAAAACATCTTTTTTTAATAAAAATTAATTAATTATCACAATTATACCCTTACCTTATTATAACGTATTTTAGGGTTGAATATAAATATACGTAATATTTTTTCCTTTAATATCACGATCTCAATCTCACCCACACATCTCACTCCACAAATCTCGCCTTTCAACATAATAACGTGCATCTTTTTTTTTTTCTCTCTAGATTTTATTTTATTTATTTTTTCTTTTCTATTCACCGTTGCACCTTTCCTTCCGTTCACCTCTTCTTCTCTCCCCACCGGCGCTGCCCCAACTCCCACCCGACGACGCCCCAGCCGCCACCCCAACCCTACCCAGTGCCGCCCCAACCTCCACCCCTATTTCCTCTCTGGATCTTCCGGGTCCGATCCCTAACCTGGCCCGATTTTTGGCCACAAGAATTGATATCAAAGGTACGTTTTGTTTCATTTCATATTTATTTTTGTTGTTCTTAAACATTGTCCCAACGAAGGTTACATGAAATTCTTTCATATGGTCTGAGATTTTTTTTTCTTCTATTTTCCATTAAATTTATTTTAAATTCTTCAAATTGAAAGATGAAATTGATAATGTCAACCGTTTGTGGTTTAGAGAGGTGGTGTTGTACATAACATGGATATGTGCATTAGTTTGGTCTTCTGTTGGATTATTGTAATGATTTAGTTTCTTCTTTTTTTTTTTATATTTTTTTTAACGGCTGATTTATGTTCTTTTAATTTTGGTAATGTTTTTGTTCTTGATGATTTTTTTTTGACGAAATTGTTGATGGGAGGAAGAAGATGATGATTTTTTCAAATAGTGAGTTTTCAACAATTTTATAGTGGTTTTTCAATAATTTTTTAACAGATTTTTATATAACTGTATATAAAGAGTGGTTTTTATGTTGACATAGTTGTTATACAAAGTGGTTTTCAAGTTTACATAGTTGTTATACAGAGTGGTTTTCATGTTATATAGTTGTTATACAAAGTGGTTTTCATGTTTATATAGTTGTTTATACAGAGTGGTTTTCATGTTTATATAGAGTGGTTTAAAAAAAACCTGGAAAGAAAATTAAAAAAACCATTTAAAAAAAATTGAAATTAAGAAAAAAGAAAAATCATGAAAAAACGAAAATAAAACCATTTTTTTAAAGTAAACTAAAAAACATGAAAATATAAATAAGAAAAAAATAATTTAAAATAAAAAACCAAAAAAATAAAAAATAAAATAATAAAATAATTACAAAATTTTCTTTTAAATCGAAATATAGAAAACCATTAAACAAAATAAAAAAGAAAAGGAAAAAAAAAACTAAATTGGCGTGATGAGGGGAATAATTTTTGGAGAAGATTTGGGTGTAGATTATGGGTATAATTTTTTTTTAAAATTAAATAATTATACTAATTAATAATTAGGGGATATATGGTTTTTCATGCCCATTGAATTTATCTCAAATATCATTTATAAATAAATGATTTATCAATGAAGAGTGTTTGTCCTATAGCCCCTATTTAAAATTCAGTTTGTTAACCTAGATTTGCTCGCAACTTTAAATTTTGGTGTAGAAGGTTAAAGTTTTAATCTATATATCTATATATAATATAAAAAGATGATCTATGCCCTCAATGATTGACATGTGACAAATGATGATGTCATTTGTCAAAATTGCTTAGTTGGAGTTCAATTGATTAGGTGGATTCTGCAATTGATTATGTGACATTTTTATTTATGGATGTTTTTAAGTTTTTTCCTATTTTACATTTACACAATCATTTAATAATTACCACATGTATATATATTATTTCCAAAGTTAATATTTCATAAATTCGAAATAAAAAAATCTTATTTATATTTTCAGTATTTCAAAATATATTTATTCAAATAAATTCATGAAACTCAATTGTTTTACGAATATTCAAATAATTTTCATAAAAAAAATATTTTTTTAAATACTAAAATATTAAAATAAAGGAATATGTTGTTGTTGTTGTTTTTTTTTTTTCAATATTTTAGAATATTCGAATATCCATTCCATTAAAAATAATAATAAAAAAATGTTTTAGTTTTTAGTTGAAGTATTTAATAAATATAAACTATTTTTTTATATGATTTTTATTATACCATATTTCAAATTCAAAATAATTATATTATTTAATAAATATGCAATGCACGGTGGATTAATTCTAAATGCAGTAGTTGGTTGTATATTTGGAAAACACTATTTAATATATAATATGGTCCGAACTATAAAACGGATTATGCATTATATTTATTAATTATTATTTCAATGCACGGTGTAATCGAATATTACTCCAACCCCAATGAGCTGTGTTCTGACTGATATATCTAATGGTTAGTGTTACACATAAATGACAATAGCAGTAACCAAGTATATAAGTATAATTCTATAAATATGTTTAAAAAAACACATTATATGATTGAAAATTTAATTAATAAATCACTAAAATATTTTTTCATTTTCAATCCAGCTCCGACACAAGACGTACTTGAATACAAATCTTCACGATCGTTGAGGAAAGTATACATTCAAAATAAGAGGACAACTCAAAAAACACATGGTAATCTAGAATGAACACAATACCACATCTTCAAATCCTTCTCAACGGATTTCTTTCACTTCGTATTCGGGCAGCTATAAAACCACCACTTTGATTTTTTCACCAAATTTGTGATCGTTGCCAATACAATGCATGTGCCAATCTAGAATTTAATACGATAATAAATTAAAAGATATAGTTCAAGTTTGAAAATTATATATGTGCATAGAAAATTATGAAACACATTATGAATACCTCAGGCGATTCATTTAAGTCATCCAAAGTTTTTCTAATAGACTTATGAACAAAGTCGTCCTCATATGAGTACGAAGTATTTGATGACATTTGACTTACGACTCGACAACTATCTGGCTCGCTTTGAGTGAGCCTGTAAAAACACTCAAGGTTGGATTAATAAGGTGGATTTATATAAAATAAAAAATATACACAGGGATTTATGTTTAAACAAACCTTGATTTGTAGTCATTGATTTCGTCAATGTTTGCATTTATCATAAACCGGGAAGAATGCAATGTATTGGAGACCTCAATGTCACCTGAAAAATGATTAAATTAAATCCTAACGTATAGTACAAATGTATTAATACAATGTTTAAATCAAGTAAAAATATGAAGAATTCAATACAATGTTTAAAGCAAGTAAAAATATGAAGAATACCATATCGCATTTGCGCGGTTGCATATTGTAACACGGCAATATATGGTCCTTCATTAATATCTAGTACAGTTTCAATCACTTGCTCAGCATATTTCTCCCACGCACAACATGCATCTAATCTTATTACCGCTGTTAAGAAATAAAACAAATGAATTCGATATTATTTATAAATACTAACATATTATAAATAAATTGACAAACAAAAATAAGAAGTGTGTTTAATAAGTACATACTCGAGATCTTGGAGTTCTATTAGAAGTTTCTTTTTTTGAACGCCTTCTTTTGTGAGGAAGGGTTCGATTTCACCTTTTCCAACGATATAACCGATGATATCTGTAAAAAAACGTATACAATGTTAGTAAAAAATGCTAAAAACAATTTACATAAACACGAATGATAAACGTTATTTATTATTACCAATCAGTCGTTCATTGTTGTTTGACACCTCAATTATTTTTGGGAAAGTGACGAATTTGAATGCAGATGATGGGATGGATGGCATATTGATTTGTTTGAAAGTAGTCCTTGAATCAAAATTGATCCGATAATCTGAAAGTGTATGTTTGTATGTTTTAAACCCCGCACCAACATTCAGATTATTTAACAAATAACATTTGTTCGCCCGGATCTTATTGTCGTATTTGAACACAAGTTTGTAGTGAACTGTGGCTTGCACCTCGTCACCCTACAAAACAATTAAATGAAATGGGTTGCCATATGAAAATGCAATGAGTATACTTCGTAATAGGAGAAAATATTTACAATAGACTCAGAAACCTGTTCGTCCATTAATATCAGTTCTAAGCTCTGATTTGATGGGCATGAATAACTTGGCTGTTTCCACATATGCATGAAAACAATTAAAAAAATATATTAAAATTAAAACCCAAGAGAAATAAATACAAATAGTACTAATATGTACATATAAAATTAATTATGAATATAAAACTATGCATATATACTTATAATAATTTATAAGAAATGATAAAAAAAAATGTAATATGAAACTGTATAATACGAACATTGTGCATTTTGTAATCGAATGGTAGTAGAAAAAAATGAAATGAGCATTGAGGGGTTTATATAGTATTGAAAATGAACTTAATTATATGGAAAATTTAAAAATTCAAAAGATTTATATATTAGTAAATGAAATCAAATCAAACAAATAAAGGAAACAACCCAAAAAAAAAAAAAAACTTGTGGAAAAAAATCTTGCAATATAAAAACATTAAATATGAAGATACGATTTTTATTTTTTACCATTCAATTTTGAATTAAAGTATAAATTAAATCAATCAAAGATATGATGAAATCTTGGAATATTAAAGATTCCTTATATTGGTGATTTGATATTTTATTTGAAATAATAATTAATAAATATAATGCATAATCCGTTTTATAGTTCGGACCATATTATATATTAAATAGTGTTTTCCAAATATACAACCAACTACTGCATTTAGAATTAATCCACCGTGCATTGCATATTTATTAAATAATATAATTATTTTGAATTTGAAATATGATATAATAAAAATTATATAAAAAAAATAGTGTATATTTATTAAATACTTCAATTAAAAACTAAAACATTTTTTTATTATTATTTTTAATGGAATGGATATTCGAATATTCTAAAATATTGAAAATTAAAAAAAAAAAACAACAACAACATATTCCTTTATTTTAATATTTTAGTATTTAAAAAAATATTTTTTTTTATGAAAATTATTTGAATATTCGTAAAACAATTGAGTGATGAATTTATTTGAATAAATATATTTTGAAATACTGAAAATATAAATAAGATTTTTATATTTCGAATTTATAAATATTAACTTTTGAAATAATATATATACATGTGGTAATTATTAAATGATTGTGTAAATGTAAAATAGGAAAAAACTTAAAAACATCCATAAATAAAAATGCCACATAATCAATTGCAGAATCCACCTAATCAATTGAACTCCAACTAAGCAATTTTGACAAATGACATCATCATTTGCCACATGTCAATCATTGAGGGCATAGATCCTCTTTTTATATTATATATAGATAAGTTAAATTTAATAATGTGTACCATATAGTACTTAATTATATTACCCCCTATTAAATATAGTAATTACATAAAATACTAAATCATATTAAAAAAAAAATTCCAAAATTACGTCACCCATAAGTTACTGCCAAAGTTATTCCAAAATTCAACATTATTCCAAAAATTATTAAATAATGTTGGAATTATGAATAAGTTTTTATGAATAAGTTTTTATGATATATATATATACGTGTATATATATACACACAGATTGAACTTATATAATCTAGGATTATATATATATATATATATATATATATATATATATATATATATATATATCACCCAATTCAATACCAAGGAAATATTTAATACATATGGAAATATAATCTATAATACATGGTCCATAATATATCACAATATATCATATAACATGAGTAATTTGTATTATATTATAGAAAAAAATCTATTTTAATAGTAACAAAATATTTGACAAATCAATCATAATTACATGCCTAAAAAATAAGTTGTGTATGAAAAAATATAAATGTGCATCGAACAAAAAAACGTGTATTATGTTTTTGATAAAGAATTGTCATCACTGATCTTGAGGTAATAAACGTGTCAAACCATTTAAGAGTTTACAATATGTATATGGTGCCATAAGTAATATTTAAATGTGTTGTGTGTTTTCAAACAACAATTATCAATTGTATCTGTTATTTATTATTTTTTTTTTATATTTTGCAAATACATATTTCATATTTTTGGTTATAATGCTTCAAATTAATTTTATATTAAATATGTTCGTTTATGCGTTTCAATATTTATAGGTTGTTGCTGTATAATAATGGATAAGAAACGCACTTCTCGAAAATTACTAAGATCGTGTAATCTATATGATGTTCCTATAGGTAAGCTGGGTTTCAAGAATAATATGTTTCCATATTTCACAGTTTGATATCTAGCTGTTGTTAAATAAATTATATTTTTATTAATATTTTTCATGTGTTGAACGGAATTTCAGGTTACTCAATCGAGGAATTTGATGCTAATATTGTACAAAATTCAGTGGGTCATGTTACATTTGCGCATACAAGATCACTTCATGATGTGTCTGTATGTGAGACGTTTTATTACTCCGGAATATTTTATAACTTGATTTTAACAACAAAATATATTTCTAATTATACGTGTTTGTTTTGTCTTCGTTTTTTTTTTTTTCTTTTCATGTACTGCAGCTGAAGTTCAATCAAACAACATGGACGATGTAAGGTCTGCATTCGTGAGAAGAAAGGGTGTTTTAAAGGAAAATGAAGTTTCAAGGAAGTTTCATATAAAAGAGAATGATAATGGTACGTAAATTTTCGTATGATATTCTTTTTATATCCTATGAGTTATATCGTATGAATATTTTATTTTTTAATAGGTCTTAAGTGTTGAATACAAGATATTGCCAATGTAAAAGGGAAGAAGGGAATCCCCCCTGATTCAATAGGCATGCAACGTGACCCGTTTAGTTGGAACTCGAATATTACTCCAACCCCAATGAGCTGTGTTCTGACTGATATATCTAATGGTTAGTGTTACACATAAATGACAATAGCAGTAACCAAGTATATAAGTATAATTCTATAAATATGTTTAAAAAAACACATTATATGATTGAAAATTTAATTAATAAATCACTAAAATATTTTTTCATTTTCAATCCAGCTCCGACACAAGACGTACTTGAATACAAATCTTCACGATCGTTGAGGAAAGTATACATTCAAAATAAGAGGACAACTCAAAAAACACATGGTAAATCATCAGTGGATTGTTTTGTTTTGTTTTTCTTCGTTGATGACATATACATGTTTACTATATAGTATAAAAACGATTTTGGCAGTTACGTTTTACATTTTTCAATTGCAGGTTTTTCAATTCCCTCAACAGACAAGAAACATCAGCAACAACCCAATAGTACAAAAAAATCGTTATATATACCCAATATCTACATATTTACATTTTAATTATAAATTAAGAATTATTTATGTTACTCACATCTTAATTGAATATGTTGTGCAGCTGTTGACTACATTATTAATAACAAGACTTTTCCAAAGTTGAAAAGAAAAATGCCAATACATGGTGATTGCAGTGGTATGTTTGAAAATTTGTAAATTATTACAATGAATCCATACGAATATTTATATATACGTATTTATGATATATCGTTGTATGCTAACTAGGTTATACGGCTGATTCGGAGAATATTGATCCAAATAGCAGCGGAATTTCAAATAATCCATCAAATACATGAAGCGAATCGCACATAAGTTACGTGACGAATAGGTGATTCTGTTAGTTTTGAATTTACACACATTTGTTTAGTTATGTAAATATGGTCATAAAATAATCATTATTAATTTGTGGTGAAATTATCATAATTTCAGTAATTCCTTACGCATTGGAAAGAGGGTATCAAAGAGTCAGAAAATTATAAATTCGGTGGCACGTGGTTTGGTGTTGGAATCTGCACCAACTATGTTGATTGACGAGGATTTAAGTACAATACAAGATATTAGTTAAGATAGTGGAGGTAAATATATAATTATAATTTGTCAATACTATCCATCAACCATTGTTTAGTAGTAAGTCTATATGGGAATTAAAATTGTCGTTGTCATAATGTTTTTGTTTTTGTAGATTCGGAATATGTTTCAAATGATGACAACAACGATCATTCTGCTGATCATGATGGTATGCAGTTTTGTTTTTTAATTCAAATAATTTTTTCTACATTAGTCTTTCGTTCACAAATTCTTTTAATTAATTTTATACATTGATAAATTTTCATAGATTACGACGATCTTGGTGATCAAAGTTGCGTTTGTCAATCATGTGGTGCGATGATGTGGTATGGTGAGAGACTTGCCACACACTATGAAACAGAATCGCCAAAATTTTCACTATGTTGCATGAACGGTAAAGTCCAGCTGCCCAAATTGAAGGATCCTCCAACTATACTATCAAGTCTCTTATTCGGTAGGGATAGACGCAGTAGGAACTTCCAAGATAATATAAGATCGTACAATATGATGTTTTCTTTCACCTCTCTGGGGGGCAAAATACAGACAGTTGTCAACAACAATCCCGGTCCGTACACTTTTGTTTTACACGGTCAAAATTATCATTTGTTGGGTAGTTTATTACCTGATGAGGGTACCACGCCGAAGTTTGCACAACTTTATATATTCGACACAGAGAATGAAGTTCAAAATCGAATTGCTGCTGTAAGGTAAAAAATGCATATATTTTAATATATATATTTCAGATTCATCATTTGTTATAATGGCCTCTAATTATTACTCTGTTATATTTCAGATTTGGAAACAATTCTAATAATTTAGATCCGTCAATAGTGTCTTTGATAAAATATATGATTGATGTGTCGAACGTACTTGCTAGGTCATACAGAGCTGCACGCGATCGTATTGCTGCAGATGGAAATAGAGGTGTAAAATTAAGACTGGTTAAGAGCCGAAGTACTGATGGTCGGACATATAATCTACCAAATGCCAGTGAAATTGCAGCGCTCATTGTTGGCGACTTCGATAACCAGGAGGGTGTAAGGGACATTGTGGTCGAAACGCAGTCTGAGAGGCTTCAGCGCATTAGTGAACTACACCCTCTTTATCTACCGTTACAATACCCCTTGATTTTTCCTTACGGTGAAGATGGGTATAGAGATGATATTCCTTTGAGAGAGTCTTAATCAAATAGTAGCCGGAAACGAAGATGCGTGAGCATGAGAGAATGGTTTGCATACAGGATGCAAAAAAGGAATGGAGAGAGTCAAGTATTGTTGAACTCGAAAAAACTATATCAACAGTTTCAAGTTGATGGCTTTTCAATGATAGAATCTCAACGACTGAATTTCATTAGATTTAATCAGGACAAGCTTAGGGTTGACATGTATAAGGGACTTCAGGAAATGATTGTCAAGGGTGACGGTGAAGGCACGTCTGCTGGAATGTGCATAGTTCTTCCATCGACATTTACAAACGGTCCCAGATATATGTTTAAGAACTTCATGGACGCCCTCCAGATATGCAATTGGATTGGATTTCCATCGCTTTTTATAACAATAACATGCAATCCCAAGTGGCCAGAAATACAAAGGGTGTTGAGAGATACGAATCTGCGTCCCGAAGATCGACCTGATATTCTTTGTCGCGTGTTCAAGATGAAACTGGACAGTCTGATCTCAGATTTCAAAAAAGGGCACATTTTCGGACGGATAAGATCATGTAACTACCACATTCTCAAAAAAATATTTAAAACTTCATATGACATGAATGCATAAAATTATTTTATTTTTATAAAATATATAATTGTTCCTATCAAACTTTATTATTTTTAATATATTATTTCATTTCAATATCCAGACGTCTGCACCATTGAGTTCCAAAAACGTGGTTTGCCGCATGCGCACATCTTTCTTTGGTTGCATAACGACGATAAGCCAAAATGTTCGGAAGATATTGATCGAATAATATGTGCCGAAATACCCGATAAGACTTGCGACCGAAAAATGTATAAGTTGGTAAAAAAATACATGATCCACGGACCATGCGGGCATGCGAACATGAATTCTCCCTGCATGAATGATGGTATTTGCACCAAGCGCTTTCCAAAGAGATTTGTGCAACGTACTGAGGCTGACGATGAAGGATACCATTCGTATAGAAGAAGGGAAGACGGCCGGACAGTAACGAAGAAGAAAACAATATTAGACAATGGGTATGTCGTTCCTTACAACCGTGCTCTACTGTTGAAATACATCGAGCTCTGTAACCAGAACAAATCGATAAAGTATCTTTTCAAATATGTCAACAAGGGCAATGATCGAGTTACAACTGCCTTTTATCAGTCACGTAATACCAATGACTGTGAACAAATACGCGATGAGATAAAAATGTACTACGACTGCAGGTATATTTCCGACTTATGCGGTTACTTATCTTAATGTTCATTCGTGTATATATTCGTTTATTTCCACAATTTATTTACTTCAACGTGTATATATTGGATTTTCTTATATATTTTTAAAATATTTTTTCAGGTACTTATCTGCATGCGAGGCCAGTTGGAGGTTGTTTGGGTTTGATATTCATTACAGAGACCCCCCCGTGATTCGTTTGAGCTTCCACCTACCTGATTGTCAAATGGTTGTGTATCACGAAAATCAACATTTGCAGAACGTAGTCAATAGACCGTCTGCCAAACAAAGTATGTTCTTAGCTTGGTTTGAGGCAAACAAGCGGTTTCCGGAAGCCAGAACAATCAAGTATGCGGATTTCCCACAGCACTTCGTTTACTCAAACGAGTCTATGTCATGGGAGCCACGAAAAAAAGGATTTTCAATCGGAAGACTTAATAATGTTCCCCCAGGGAAGGGAGAAGACTACTATCTGAGGTTGTTGCTTAATATTCAAGCTGGTTGCACAAGCTATGAAGAACTCAGAAGCATGAATATGAAGGTCTACGATACCTTTAGGGACGCATGCTACGTATTAGGTTTGTTGCAGGATGACAAAGAGTACATTGACGGCATAAAGGAAGTAAGCAGATGGGCGAGCGCATACTGCACAAGATTACTGTTCGCTATTATGTTATTGGCAAATAATTTGAGCAGGCCTGAGTATGTATGGGAGAAATGTTGGTCGGAGTTATCTGATGACATGAATTACAGACACCAAAAGCGTCATAATAATCCAGGTATATATTTAATTTAAAAACCTTAGTCCATATACGATAATTGTCGTACCGATATAATTATTATTTGTATCTTTATAATTTGTGCAGCGTTAACCTTATCAGAGGATGACTTGAAGAATTACGCCCTCATTGAGATTGAGAAAATACTGCAGGGCAATGGTAAGAGTTTACGTAACTATACTGCAGAGCAATGGTGAGAAAATATTGCAGAGCAATGGTATTGCTTCATTGCTCCTTCCGGGTGGTAGAACAGCACATTCTAGATTTGGACTCCCGATAATTGTGCATGAGAGCTCCACTTGCAGCATCAAACAACAATTTCCTCAAGCAGAGCTGTTGATTGAAGCAAATCTTATTATATGGGATGAGGCCCCGATGATGCATAGGTTTTGTTTTGAAGCATTAGACAGAACCATGCGATCGATTTTGAATTCTGAAAAACCTTTTGGTGGTAAGGTTATCGTACTTGGTGGTGACTTTAGACAGATATTACCTGTTGTACTTAAAGCATCGAGGCAAGACATCGTACATGCTACGATCAATTCATCACCATTGTGGAGAGAATGTCGTGTCATGAGGTTGCATAAAAATATGAGGCTTCAGTTGAATTCATCTTCATCTAGCCAAGATGAAATAAGGGAATTTGCAGAATGGATTCTGAGAATTGGAAACAGAGAAGCTGGAGACTACAATGATGGTGAGGCCTCGATTGAAATTCCTGAGGACATGCTGATTCGAGAATCAGAGGATGCTTTTTCAGAGCTACTGCAGTTTGTGTATTCGGATTTGTTGAATAACATTGCCAATCCTGATTTCTTTCAAGGGAGGGCCATTCTGGGGCCTACAAATGAGAGTGTTATATATGTGAACGATTATCTGTCGTCACTTATTGAAGAAGAGGAAAAGGTTTACCTGAGCTCTGATAGTCTGTGCATGGACGAAGCAGATTCCGAGATTAATGCAGAAATTTATTCCACCGAATTTCTCAATACAATATCGTGCTCCGGTCTGCCGCCGCATGAGCTAAAATTAAAGAAAGAAGTTCCCGTCATGCTCATTAGGTATATCGATCAAGCAAGAGGTTTATGCAATGGAACTCGTCTCCAAGTTGAAAGACTGGGCATGCATGTAATTAGTTGCAAAGTATTATCCGGTAAGAATGTTGGCGACATGGTATTTATTGCTCGGATGACTTTGATACCTTCGAATTCCACATTGCCAGTTAAATTTCAAAGACGTCAGTATCCGGTGATTATATCATTTGCCATGACAATCAACAAAAGTCAAGGGCAAACTCTCTCGCACGTTGGATTGTACCTTCCAAGGCCTGTTTTCAGTCACGGTCAATTGTATGTAGCGTTGTCTCGAGTAAAGAGTAGATCTGGAATAAAGATTTTAATAAAGGGCGAATCCGGTGAGTTGTCCAGTGTTACTAGCAACGTCGTGTACAAAGAAGTATTCGAAAGAATATGAAGGTACACATTGACAAACACATATATTAGTTTTATTTATGTTTAACATTGTTTTTTTCTTTTTATATATATATATATATATATATATATATATATATATATATATATATATATATATATATATATATATAAAAGTATTCTTTATCTACGTAATGTCTTTAACTTATATATTGAAAATGTGCAAAAATAACAAGTTATTTGTCATCCTATCGTATATCTGATTGTAGTTTCATTGTCTCCTTTAACAACAATCAGATTCATGTGCAAGACTGGTTCGATGCTTTGATTTCAGTATGGGAGTTACTTGCTACATTTTAACGTGGATGGTTTTTAGAATTTTGTCAGTTTATTCTATATGCAGATTTTTTATTGCTTGATTAAGATACAAATTTTTATTTTTTTGTTCAGTTGTATTCTTAGCATTCTCGACATAATTTTTCTTCGTCAATTTTATACATTAACTCATTTTAATGTTTTTAATTAATCCCCGTGCATCGGACGGGTGAGTTACTAGTTCTTATAAAAAAAATATATCTTTCTACTTTGTCTCCCTTTGGTACCGATAAATCGATAGATGGTGATGAAGAATTTCATGAGTTGAATGATATAGTAGACAAAGAAGATAACAATATAGTACTGGCTGAAAATTCCACTACTTATGATGCCACAATATATTTCCATGAGAATTCATATTGAGAAAAAGAAGAAGGTAGTGAGACTTGTCAAAGGGAAGTATGTATACAAATGAGCACTTACTTTTGTAGTTGTGTTTGTTACTTTTGTAATGGTTCTTGTAATGGATTTTGATGAGATTGTAAAAAAATAAATATTTACCGGACTTGTTTTGATGGTGTTGGTTCCTTTTTTACATGACTTTTAATGTTTTTTCTGGGCTTGCTATATTGATTGCAAACTTTGGCCCAATTCTCAGCGAATTCGCCCATGTTGAAGCACCTATTTAAGGGCAAAGATAAGCACGAATTAAGAGACTTTTCACATAATCTTAGAGGGAGAGGAGCGAGAGAATGGATAATCGAAGACGAAGACCTGACGAATCTTCATCATAGTTCGTCCCCTATTTCTCTTTTCCAAATCTATATATGTTATTATTTTTATGATGTTTTCGCGTAAGAACATGAGTAACTAAACATGGCCGGCCCTGGGGTGGGGCGAGCAGGGCCCACACCCAGGGCCCATTTCTAGTAGGGGTCCAAAAAACTGAATTTTTTCATATATATTATATATATTTTCAATGTTACTTATTTTTTTTAATATAAATTTAATTATTATCATGTTGAATTTATCCAAAAATAATTAAATTTACTAGCTGAATAATATTTATAATAAGAAAAAAATTCATTTATTAATAGTAGAATTGAATATTATTGAATATAACATAAATATGAGATTATCGTACAAAAGAATTGCTAAATATGTTTTCTCAAAATTAAAATTTAGAATAATTAGTAAAATAGTTATAGCATATGACATTAAAATATTTATTTTAATTTTATCAATAGAATAAATATAGTTTTTATGAATATGTTTTTTAAAATTAAATAAATTATTACATACTTTTCTAATTTTTTTTCTTAAAAGAAATAAATTCCAATCCAAATATGCAATATATTTATTCTATAATGAAACATATATTAATAAATCTTTATCCACATTAAAATATCGGGAAAAAAATCAAGGGCGCTGCCCCCGAACCTCCGTATTACTTAATGACACTTTTATTATGTCGCCCAAGGCCTCAAAATATGCCGGACCGGCCCTGTAACTAAACCTTTTAATGTAGGATTTTGTTGGAATCCTATATGGTTATTTTGAACCTAGTTTTCTAATATTATGCAAGTTAAGTTCAATGATTATTTCTTCTATCTGATTTTATTCAGTGCATGAGTCTAGCTAATTTATGTTGCTATGTGTTATTGTTAAAATTGAATCGACATATAATTTTAATAATTATAACATGTATAGAAGAGCCTTGGAGTAGTTTTCACTCGATTAGTGTGCTAAATTGCATGTGGTGTCATAGGCATACATATATCACCTTAGGTAGCCGTTTACGAGACTTATTAGTTAATGTTTTATTCATAATTGGTTGCATAGACATATAGTGAACTATTTATAAATAATAGACTTATAATACACGCGACATCGGGTTATAAGTAATTTAGTGTCTCGAGTTAATAATCAGGAGTTTAATTTTGCATAATAAATATTTAATTGGGTGAAGAATTATCACATAGGAGGAAGATAAAATCTTAGGTCTTTTTAATTGATATTTTGTCGTGTTTATTTTCTTTCTTAGTTAGTCTTATAATTTAGATCTTAAAATTTTGACAAACTTGGGTAGGCTGGATAAAAATCATAGTTGTTAGAATTCGGTACTTATAATTAGATCATTGAAGTATTCCCTATGGGATCGACATCCGAATCTCACGGATCCACTTATACTACTTGTTTGCGATACGTGCACTTGCGCGTTAGATATTTAGTCCAACAATTACGTTAATTCATAATGGATTACGTAGGATTTTAGTGTTTTTCTATAAATTTGTAGTGGCTTACATTAATATTAAGGTAGTTTTCGTTAATTTAAAGTGAATTTCACGGTAGTTTCATAGTGGTTTCAATAATTTTATAATGGTTTTCAATGAGTATATAGTAAATTTCGATTTCGATGTAAGTCTGCAAGGCAAAAGATAATAAAAAAACAATTTTTTTAGAAAAACTGAAATTAAAAAATAATAATTATATAATGGATTTTGATACTAAAAATCCCTTTTTATTAAACAAAAAAAAGGCGAAAAAAACTATTTTTTTATATCAAAATGAAAAAAAATGAAAAATATATAACAAAACTAATTTAAAATAAAAAACAGTAAAGAAAAATAAAATAGAACTAAAAGAATATGGGGAAATGTGGGATACACCCCTACTTTTGAAAATATATATGGATAGGTTCAATGGATTTTTCTTCCCTAGTCAAAAACTCAAATTCTAATCTTAATTAGTGAGACCCCCCTAAACAACTTGAAGTACCTGTTTTACCCTTTTAATGTCAATTCAAACCCTAGTTTTTTTCTCTCCCACTCATTCAGTAGTTCCATCCTTTCAATCACTTTCTCTTCTTTTGTCTCTAACTCTCTCTCTATTCACGTGACATCTCTCCCCTTATTCTCTTCTTCTCTCTCTATCTTATTCTCTCTCTAGCTCTCTCTGTATCCAAAGCCATGTGACCCACCTATGCTTCTCCCCCAACTTGCGCCGCCCACCGTTGCTGCTCATCCGGCGCCGCCCGCAGCCGCTGCTCTCTACGAGAACGGAGCCGCTACTCCCTCCGCCGCAGCTCCCTCTGCCGTTGTTCCCTCCGTCGTCGCCGCCCGCAACCGCTGCTCCCTCCGCCGCCGCCGCCCGCAGTCGTCTGCCGCCGCCGCCCGCAGTTGTCTGCCGCCGCTGCACCAATCTGTATTTCGACGACGATTTGTATTGCCGGAGAATATGATCCGTATTCCGGCCGCAATCGACGAACGGAATCCGTATTCTGCAGCACGAGTTTCTGGCTTGGTAAGATTGGAACTCGTTCCTTGAAAAATATGAGGTAATTTGTTGTAATTTTTGTTTGTTTCATGGATCGATGTTAGGCACTTGTATTAAATTCGAACTATGTGAAAAAAATATAATTGATTATTTACCCAATTGTTTAGGTATTTTTTTTCCTGTAATAAAATGAATTATTGCTTGATGAATTGTTTTGCTTGATGATGAATTCGTGTGGTGTGCCGATGATTGACCCTGTGTAATTACATAGAGATGGACTACCAAGATAATTTATTTTATTTTATTATATTTTATTTTATTTTATGTATCTTCTGTTGGCACAAAATTGTAGTTTATCTTGGGTAATGAATGATTTAATGGTGTTTCGAATTGCAGGTTGTTGGTTCGTGGTCTGAACATTCAGGTTCAGTCGAGTTTGCTGCTTTTGAACCAAGGTTTATAACAACTCCAAAAAAATTACTTATTATCCTTGATAATAATTCCTGAAGCTCTGTTATGATATGAATCTTTTGGTAGTCATATATGGTCATGTATAGTAATATATAGTTATATATAACTTATGTAGTAACATGTAGTCATGTATGAGTTATGTGAGGACTATATCCTGTTGACGTATATGTATATTAGTGATGATATCATTGGGGCACATGTGTGTGAAAAAATTATCTTCTGCACATCTCAAATTGATTTTCAGCCTTGGTCGGTCAAAGGTGGGTCAAACTGTTTTTTATACTTCGTAGCCCAACCTGCTTTGTGTTCTCCCTTCACAACTTTCCATTCAGAATACTTTTATGGACATTAGTTTTAATCTTTTGGTTAATTCTTTGAGCACTTGGCTTCTTTTCTATACATTTAAAATTGTCTGCTATTTTCTTGTTTTTCTTTTTTAATAATATATAATGTATGCCTTGAGCAGCATTTGGCAGAGGCAATCTAGGAAAGCAGAGGAAAGCAGAATGAAGCATAATTGATTACCTTAAACTGCTGGCACGGTAAGTAATAAATTTCTTTTTCAACCGCATTGTTCTATTCACCATTTTATATAGATTCACTTGTGAACTTTTTTGGTGGTGTAGATGAATTTTATATATATACATATATAGTCACATGTGGTCATGTACGTGTAGTCATATATAGTCACATGTAGTAACAAGAATGAACATAACTACATGTGACTATAGTTGACTACATGTAGTCATACTAGGCATATGCAGTAACAATAATGCACATAACTACTTGTGACTATAGTTCACCAAAATAATTTTATCAAAAAAATGTATTTAATTGTGTTTTTGTATTTTTTTTCATGTAATGTAATTCGCTTGTTCCATTTTGTTCTTCGTTTAATTCTTTATCTTGTATTTTTTTTCACAGGTTTTTCTTTGTATAACATTATGAGATACAAAGAATAAGATGCAGAGAAGTGCCATGTGAAGTTGTATTCCTGCTACAGTACTCCAGACTTATGCCACTTATATAACTATAAATGATTGTAGATAACTATAGTCACGTGTAGTAACATATAGTTATATGTATGTTATGTGTTTTTTAATATATAGTAATGTGTGTTCATGTTTTGAAGATTTTTTGCATGTGCTTGTGTTTTTTTTTTGTTAGTTGATTTATAATATCAAGAATTAAATTGTGAATTTTGTTGTTGGTGTAGATTAATTTTGGAGTAAAAAGACAGTACATGATTATATATAAACTATACATGAATGTGGTATACTATAGTTATGTGTAGTATACTGTAGTCATGTATAGTCAATTTCAGTACAGTAGATATATCAAAAAAATTATATAAAAAAAAAAAATTAAAATTAAAAGAATTAAAAAATTAAGAGAATTAAAAAATTAATAGGATTTAAAAAATAAAACGAAGTAAACAAAAAAGGGTATATATATATAAAAAAAAAACATTTATATTTTTTTAATAAAAAAATCTGTAAAACTGATAAATGCATGCCCAGAATGCTAAATGCAATTGGGCATTATGCTGAAATGTAGGGGCGAAAATACTGAATGCAGTTGGACGAAAATTTCACTTAAGGGCACAATAGTACATTTGCCCCTCCAGGGGTGTATCTCAAAGGAAAAATTTTAAGGGTGGACTTATCCCTATATATTTTCCATTGCAGGGGTGTATATCAAATGGACCAAAAGAATATATAACTAGTAACTATAATTAAAACAATTTACTCAGACTAGTAACTATTCTCGTGCGTCGCACGGGTAGTATATTAAAACAAAAGAAAACAATTAATTGTATACAAAATTAAACATTTAGTAAAGAAAAAATAAAATTTCGGTAAGACATGTAAAAAATTAAATTTACAAAAATATGTAAACAGTTGACATAATCTATAATTTTATGAAATTAATTAATTTATTTACAACATAAATAACTCTATGTTTATAATCCATGGAAAAAATATATTGCATCACCATTGAATTTGAAAATTAAATCATCTTAAACATTCACTAAAAAATAAACATAGTCCAGTTAAAAAATATTCAAAACAATTGTCGATTAAAAGTTATAAGTAAAATTGTAAAAATAATTTGTCTGTCATTCATCATACTTGAAGATACCTAAATTCTTCAGGGTAGCTCAATAGGTGGCTCGATTAAGGGTAAAAATCGGATGGGTCATATCGGAATTAGCCTTTCTGAAAAATTTCCGAAAAGATTGGGAAGTACAAAATCAATTCCAATTCCCATTCTAAAATTTTCGGAATTTAAATATTCATTCCACTTCCCATTCTAAAATTTTCGGAATTTAAATATTCATTCAAATTCCAAAAGGTCTGGAAATTTCAAAATTTCGGAAAAAAATCGAAATCACTTAAGTTTTAAAATTTCAAACCTTAGCCGGTTTTTGTTTTTTGAAATTTTCGTAATTAATCTTCAAAAAATAAGAACATCCACGTCGTTAAAAGAAAAACTAATAACTACTAAATTTCAGTTAAAAAAATTAAAAAAATAAACCACATCATAATATCTAATAAAAATTCTAACAACAATTATATATGTCAAAACTCTAAAACAAAAAGTAAATCAAATTACTGTTTTAGAAAAAAAAAACAACTTAAAATAAGTATTATATAATATATATTATTTATAGGGGTATTTTTCAGAAAAACATTGGAATTTTTCAGAATAACTTTTGAAAAATAAATCGAATAAAAAATCGGAACTTCCAATTTCTATCCCAAAAAAAATCAGAAAATTTCGAAAATGGAAATTTCGGAAGTCGGAAAGATTTTTTTTTTTCCAAAATCGGAACTTTTTGGATCCATACCGGTGGAAATTGAAATTTCAATTCCAACTTGCACCCCGTGGCTTAATAGATATTAAACATTCATTATATATTCGTTGACTTCAATTGTGAGCAAATATCAACATATCCTACTCATAGCCTGCTTGGAAATCATTTAGCTTAATTGTAAATTTTTGTATCTAGCTTTGGATACTTAAACATTGAAGATAATAACTTGTAAAAATACAACATAATGGTGCCAAGACACAACTCTTAATCCATCACTCTTTTCCTCGGTCTCATGAAAAAAAATTATAAATAAAAAATATGAGGATACGAAAGCGATGATGATCTTACAACATTGTATCGATCTATCGTAAACCGTCACAAAACCCATTGCTAGTCTAGCTGATATTGGAAGTAGGAGTCAAAAGAAATGGACGATAAGCTTACGAAAGTCGGAACATGATAGGAGCATTGTTCTTCCGCAATCTTCGATTTTATTTTTAATCAACTTTTTTCTTTCTGAATTAATTTTTCAAACTTCTTATGTACGATTTTCATGTAGTTCAATGATCGAATATATTCATGATGCTGGACATACATAGTCCCGTAACAATGTTAATGAAGTAAGCATTCTAATTTATTGAACAAAAAAAAAACTAATAAACCAAAGAGAAACTTTCCACTATCGACAATCCCTTATTCCACTACGGCCACTATCACTAATAATAACTTCCCACTAACAACAATCTTAATCATTATTTTCTGGTGGAGTTATTGAGTGCGTAGGAGGTAAAACGAAGGAAGTTAATTTAAAAAGGAAAAAAAATTGTCGAACATATAAAATGACAATACTGCCCCTAGGACTACATCTAGGGTTATAAGTCAAAATATTTTCCTTATATATATACTAGTAACCGAACCCGTGCGTTGCACGGGGTTATACATTTCAATGAAATAAAACAACAACAACACAGTTATTAAATTGGAGCAATAAACCACAAATTGTCACAAATATAATATACATTTGCTGCTTTACACTTAAAAATATTCATATAAAAAACTCTTAAAAATCGCACTTTAACCGTTCAGAAGATGCGTGCACTTCACCGATACCCAAGACATTACTGCAGATTAACAATTCCCAATAGCATTATATATGAGTTCAAATACCACAAAAAAATTGTTGAAATAAAAAATGCGAAACAAATATATGGAAAACAATAACCCTTGATGTGTTGTGTGACAGCTCATTCTTTGTGGCAATGCATTCATTTTAATGATATTGCATCTTCACACTCTGCGAAATAATAAAACACATTATGCACAGTAGAATGTAAGGCTTACATAAGAACTAATGTGAAAAACTGTAAATAAAAAATACCTTAAATTTTGAAATACTTCTTTATAAACAACGTTTGTTGTATTTTTTGAAGTATTTCCTTCTTTGTCAACTATAACTATCTTCAAACCTTTTCGACTCGTAACCCTCGAAATAACTACATATAGTTGTCTTTGAGAGAGAACAGACTTTTCAGGATATAGACCAACATTTTGGAGGGATTGACCTTGGCTTTTATTTATTGTCATAGCGAAGGAAAGAACAATGGGAAATTGTCTCCTCTGAAAGTGAAACGGAATCCTACTGGCTGACGGTGTTAACGACAATCTTGGAATGAAGACCTTCTGTCCGACATTAGAGCCTGAAATTATTTTTGCTTCCAAAACGCGATTTCCCAACCGAGTAATGGTCAATCTTGTACCATTACACAACCCATTGGACTGGTCTATATTCCTCAATAACATAACAGGAACACCTTTTCAGCTTTAATTCATGGTTTGACAGACCTGAAGATGTAATAGTATTCAAAAACTCTGGAGTATGAATGTCATGATGTGAGTCGACACTCTCATTCGCCGTACATGGACTATCGAAACTAAGATAAACTTTTTCCTCTTCCGGAACCAAAGACAGCATGTAATCATTCACCTTCTCAACAATTTCATTAGTAGGTGCCAATATAGCTCGTTGTTGTAAGTATTCAGAATCCATGATATTACCGAGCAAATTTGGGTAAGTTGCTTCAGCAATAGACGCTAAATGGTTACCTGATGATTGTATGAGCAAATCATCAGGTATCTCAATGTCCATAACTCCATCATTGTCATCACCATTAGTACCATCGCCTATACTTAACACCCAATCTGAGAAGTTTTTCAGTTCCTCGCAATTAGAACTTGTTGAAGAAAGCCTCATATATTTTGTTAATGTTAACACTTCACAATGCTGCCACAAATGTGAGAAATTTATGCTCGCCGACACAACTTGTTGTCTTGTTCCCTTTGGCACGACATACAATATTTGTCTAAAATCACCTCAAAAAACAATTGTTTTGCCACCAAATGGTTTGTTCTCATTTTCAGGATCAGGCTGGCTTAGGATATCCTTCAAAGATTGATGTACGGCTTCAAAACAATGCTTGTGAATCATCGGAGCTTCATCCCAAATGATGAGTTTCGCTTTTGTTATCAACTCCGCCAAAGGGGACTCACATGTAATGTTGCAAGTAGATTCTTCGTGAACATTAAAAGGAATGGCAAACCTCGAGTGAGCTGTTCTTCCATCAGGAATGAGTAAAGATGCTATCCCACTTGATGCGACTGTGAGTACTATTTCACCTTTTGACCTTAAAGCTGCCGAAAGCGTTC